AGAATGATGATAGAAGAAAGTTCCATAAATTTGAATAACAACTTTGAGATTGAGAGAGCTTCCCTATGGATACATCACCTTCTTTCTGCCGATGACACCATTTTTTTCTCATCCATGAATCTGTGTCGGTATTCAACGACCTTTTTGGCCTTGTCGACTATTTTGAACAGGCATCCTAGTTGATCACCAGAAATCGGAGACTATCAGGGTTAATACAGAATATAAGGAGGTTGAAATGATAGCTGAGAAATTCGTTTGTAGGCAAGGATACTGGCCAACATCTATTTAGGGCTTCCATTTTACGGTAAACCTTGAACTTCTTTTTGGTCCCCTGTTGAAAAAGTTGAAAGAAGGAGATCCAGTTATGGAACCACACATGCTTATCCAATGAGGGCAGCCTCACTCTTTTGCAAGCAACACTTCCAAATCTTCCCACATACTTTTTGTCCTCTTCAAGAGTCCATCAAATGTTCTGTGGAATATTGCAAGATTATGTAAAATTTCCTTTGGAAGGGTAGCTCCCCCCAGTCTGGATCTATTGAATGAGGTGAAATAACTCCTAGAGATCAATGGTCATGGAAATTAAATCAAAAGGCTTTTTCTCCACAAAATCTTCACTGCTTGATTTAGATAACAACTTGACAGCGCCATTGTTTCCCTGCAGAAGCAATATGGATGGATTTATAGCCAAAGAAAATTAGAATTGTCTTTTGGAGCTTAGCCTTATTTTCACGAATACATTTGATAGATTGCAGCGCCGTTTTCCACACATGGTTTTATCCCCGCAATGCTGCATTATCTGTAAAACAACCCCTAAATCACAGAATCATTTGGCCATCACCTGTTATTTTGCTGGAAAAAGAGTCCAACCCTTCTTATTAAAACCCTAAATGACACTGATATAAGAAAGAACACGAAAAGGTCATTGAAGAATAAGGAGATGAAGCACTAGTTTAGAAAGATGGAAGCCCCTTGCCATACAGCCACTTCTTTTATCTGCCGTTGTGGCTATAGTTGAGAGAGAGAGAGATTAGTTGCATCCTTATGTGAGAGTGAAAACAATATTGTCCTTGCTCTTGAAGAACTATTGTTATTTGTATGTTGGAGAGGGCTGATTTTATTTTTTAATTGCATGTGATGGAGGACTGAATTTATTTTGGGTCAATAGCTCCATTGCCACATACTGAAGGAAAGCTGAGGTGGAAGTAAACCACCAACAGCAAGGTTATTCTTTTTCTTTTATCCATTTCTTGGTAGTCTCTTTACCTCAATAATAATTATAAGATAGAATTTTCTTCTCGCCAAAACAATATGACCATGTGCAAGTCATAATATTAGAATAAGGAAGTTAGATATTGCATAGTATGTCAAACTATGCACACACATGCATCTATATATTCAATTTTCTGTTTTCCCTGCCTTAACGAGTTTTCTGCAACAAAAAGTGTTTCTACTGAAAAAATAAGGTGCTTTTTAAACAATATTTCCAGACAACCCTTATTCTCTCTTTGCAGTTTTTGTTAGCACCATTTTAAAGCTGTTAATAAGAATTTTGATTGGATGACACTTGCAAAGACTGATTTTATTATGCACGTTGAAATCATTATTCACATATTTGTAAGGAAGGACAGCTTCCAGACAAGGCCCATATGTCCAACTGAGGGAAGAACAATAAGTGGTGAATTTTGGACAACGACAGTGTATTTTGTTTTCTAGGATGTTAGAAAACCCCACATAGCTCTCTCACTTCGGCCTGGTGTATTCTTTGCAAAAGGCAAGGAGAAGATATTGCCCATTTCTTTCTGCTACACCCTTATATCTTTTGGCTCGTCTTAGAGTAGTAACCCATTCAGGAGATAGCAAAAATGTGGATCAAGGCTATAATTGTTCTAGCTCTTGTTTGAGAATTTTGGATGGAAAAAAATGGAAGAATTTTCCGAGCATCAAACACCTTACTTTCATTACTGATGCAGGATCATGCTATTATCTTATTAGAGGGAGCATTGGAGAAACTCCCATTAATGAACGACCAAAGGGCCATAAAGAACAACTCTTTATGTTGAGTGCTTGCTTCTTTAATATAGTCTATGAAAGCTCAGAGTTAGCCACTAAGCAGGTGTTGTTTACTAATCCCTGAGGAGCGGTGCTAAATTATGTATTTACTACTCGGTGTCAGCTTGTTTACATTTCTATTTTTGTGTTCCTTTGTCCTTTTGTTTCTTTTGTTTTAGGTGGTTGTGTGCTGAAAACTCATTGGCTGTGTTCAAGATGTGTGGTTTACACTGTTTGTGAACTTGAATTCCTTAACGAAATTTATTGTTATTTGTTCATCAATTGAAGCTCTTGAGGTCATTATATGACTGAGGACTTGGTACATCGTTGTAGGAGCATACATAATTTGCAGTGTGATGTTCATTATGTATTTCTTACAATCCACTTGGTTTTGCTGATGTTCATATTACCTGCAAATGTTTGGCTATATATATCACAGATTGAAACTCGAATGGCAAAAGGGAGAAGGGGATGTCGCAGGATGGCTTCCCGGCAATTCAGGTCAAACCCATATCCACTCCCTTATAAGCGGGATTTCACAGAGGATTTGTGCCCAAAGAATTGTATCAGCGCTCTGGATAAGAAGTATTGGGAAGATGCAACATGCTCTGTATGCATGGAATACCCACACAATGCTGTTCTTTTACTCTGTTCATCTCATGATAAGGGTTGTCGTCCCTATATGTGTGGCACAAGCCTTCGTTATTCCAACTGCCTTGACCAGTACAAAAAAGCTTACACCAAAGTTATTTCGTCTAACAGTGCACAACCAGTACACACCTCAATCGATTATTCAGCTGTTGTAGAGGATGCAAGTTTTCTTGGTGAAAATCATGAAGTGACTGAGCTTGCATGCCCCCTCTGTCGCGGACAGGTGAAAGGATGGACCGTGGTTGAGCCTGCCAGAGAATATCTGAATGCAAAAAAGAGGACCTGCATGCAGGACAGCTGCACGTTTTTAGGAAACTACAAGGAACTGAGGAAGCATGTGAGACAGGAGCACCCATCCACAAGGCCCCGCGAGGTGGATCCCGTGCTTGAACAAAAATGGAGAAGACTGGAACGGGAATGCGAAAGGAACGACGTGATGAGCACAATCAGGTCGACAATGCCCGGAGCTGTGGTCTTTGGCGATTATGTGATAGAAGGAAATAGCTTTGGCTTTGATTCTGAGGAAGATGAAGCGGGGTTGAATGCGAATTCGAATGCGAATGCGGCTGCGGCTGAGAGGGATGGGGGCTTTGAAGTGGGCTTTGATAGTAATCTGGTGAATGTGTTTCTTCTGCTACATGCCTTTGGTCCATCAAGTAGCGACCTCAATAGACGGCTAAGACAGCAGCAGCAGCAGCAGCCAGAGAGGAGTTTCCCTCCCAGACCAAATGAAGGCGCTACAGGTATTATTCCCAACACCACTCCGCTCAACAGTTTTGATTCCATTAATCTAGACAGTGACAATGGCGGAAGTGGTGACAATAACAACGGGGGCAGCATGTCATTGGTTAGCCGCCTCCGCCGCCACGGAAGGGTGCTGTTGGGACGGTCAGGTAGGAGACGTAGGCATAGAGAGAGTAGTAGTAGATGAATGAAGGATGAAAATGGGCAGAGAGAAAGGAGGGGGTAGGAATAGGAAACATCTCTCAGGTACATAGCATAAGAAAAAGAAGTAGAAATCTTGATAATAAAGGAATACGAGTTTGTGGAATTTTGAGCAAAATTTATGATGGATGACATTTATTTGCGCGCCCCCCCCCGTCCGTCCATCTGATAGGGGAGATGAAAAGCTTTGGCAGGTTAAGAAGCCTGTGATGTAATTTATTGTGAATTTTTGTATAATTTCCTGATTGCCTTATGACCTCCTCTTGATGATGATATGCTTGGATTTGCTTGAAATTTAGTTGTAACCATCTGAAATTAATGGATCTTCTGGACATTGCTTCCTTGCAACGAAGTCATTAGACTAATGACACACACCCATTTGTAGTTCACATATTATGACTGCTCTGATCACTCTTTCACTGCCTTTACTCTCTATTTATATTCATAAATTATGTATACGATGATATATTCTGTATTATTTTGTAAATTATGATTTTATTAATCTGTATCTGTTTGATACATAAGGCTAAATAACACGACATTTAGTTAAATTTATCGAACTTTGTTGTCTATGTAATTTATTTAGTGTGATCGTAATGTTCTTATCTACTTTTTCTCATAAGTATAAGACCTTTACTACATGTATACTATGATATTTCAAATTGATTGAAATTAATATCATAAAAGAGCTCTATTTGAGGACTTCCTAAAATGGGATTTATAACTAATAATAACTAACATATTTTTTCTGGTCAAAACTTAAATTTTTTGTCTAACATATTTTTTCTGGTCAAAACTTAAATTTTTTGTCTCATGGCTTCCAAATAGAAAGGCATATTTAGGAAATGATCTCACTTTTTCATGGTTGGAAAGATGCATTTACACCACCAACATGACTGACATGTCATTGGTGTGTTTGGGCGTGACCACTAGCGTGGACTCCACAATATACCCTACGGTTGACCATGGGATAGAGCATTCTCACCCATATACCCCAAGGTTGACCATAGGATAGAGCATTCTCACCCGACAAACAAAGAACTAACAAATAATATTTTACATACTAGAGAAGTAATCCGTGATTATAAGACATACCACATGTATAATATCCTACATTTAAAATTATAGTTTAATGAGATAATGCACGCCATACTTCCGTGATTACCGTACATATTCGTAGTGTTTTATTCATACGGAAACTGTATGCATCAGAAACGACCCAACCCATAATGAGCCAAATGATTAATGGTGTACAAATTCAACATTCATAGTTTTAAGAAAAAAGTATTGAGATGCTTGGGCCGTATTCTAATATGAAGCAAATGATATATATATTTATATAACACATGGACGCCTCAACTGGAACTTGTAATTTGGATTTGAGCCAAAATAATTTGCGTCGGACCACCACTTCCTCTGGTTTCAACCACCTCAATTTTGGCACTGTCTTACTTACTTGCCCTCTTGCTGACGATGGGTAGCAGCGATGGAGGCGGAGGAGATCAGCTGAAGCAAATGGCGGGCCTGAACAAAGCCCTAAAAGAGGGGGAGAGGATTCTGGCGCCGACAAGGCGACCCGATGGTACTCTTCGAAAACCCATTCGGATTAGGGCTGGCTATGTTCCGCAGGAAGAAGTCGCCGTTTATCAGTCCAAAGGGTCTTTGGTATGAGCAGCAGCCTTCCCTTTTCCCTTTCTTCTTTTCTATTCAGCTATAGTCTGCTTGCACCTTTATTATGTTGCTGTTGCTCGTTTAACTCGCATTTGAAACTCATACTAGGATAACCAAATCATCCTTTAAGCTGCTGCCCTTTATGTGTTTGCGTTAATGTGATATGTCAAGGCTGCTCTCTAAATCACTATATCTTCCTTCTCTGTGATGTATAAGACGAAGCACTGTGAAATACAGTAGCCCGTGACTTCAAGCGATCATTTCATCCGGTGGAGCACACAATAGAAAGAAAAAAAAGTATGTTAATGATGGAATAGGATTGTGAAAGTAATGAGATAATGGAAGTCAAAGAAATATGTTTCTTTAAAATATGTCAGATTGGATTGGATTGAAGACTTGAATGTATGATCTCTTACCAAATTTAGGTTGACTTATTAGAATAGTTCTCAAGGAAGTTTCACTGTATTTTTTTAGTTTTAGAGTATTATTTTTAGAGTTTTATGTTACAATGTAGCTAGTGGCCACGATAGCCATTGTGGTATTGATGGGCAGAGAGTTACAACCTTTCAATTGACCATAGGTTACTCTAGAGTTTATTTTTGAGGCTATAAATAGTCATTTATGTTTTTGCTTTACCATTAAGATTTTGGAGATTTTGGATACTAGAAGGATAGTTGCATCTTCTTCATAAACCATGAGCTTGTTCCCTTGCGTTTTATGTGTTTAGATTTGCATGATAGAGTCATTTAAGTAGTCTTGATCAAACTTTCTTGTGAATTGATTCGAATCTTGAGTTTAGAAACAAGTTTTTTTTACTCTTGATATTGATCATCAAGTAAACTGCTTCTATCTTCTTCATTGAGGTGAAATCATCTTGATTTGGGAGTTTTAGCCTCAGTGATTTAGGGGTTTGCATGTCCCTAAGAGCTCTTAGACTAAGGGTTTCATATCATTTCTTGGGACTCCATAAAGAAAACTAATGCTAATAACTTGGAATTTTCCTTCACAAAGTATGAGATACCGTGAGCTGTTTGTAATCTAGGTACCAACAAATCCCCTAGTTGGGACAGCTACACTATGAAATCTTATAAAAAATCGTGGAACGTCCTCAAACCCGACATGTTAAGGCTGTTCCAAGATTTTTATTTTTTTAAAGAACGGTATCATCAATGGAAACCTTAACGAGACTTACAGTTGCCTTATACCCAAAAAGGTGGAAGCCATGTTAGTGGGAGATTTTAGGCCTATTAGCACACCATCTCCTTTCATTCATGTTATCAGAGCATCCATACAGAAAATATAAGAAAAATCTTTGGGAAACCTCGTCAAAGCTTTTGGATAGTATATCACTTCACTTACTATATCTTATCGAAAATTGTTACCTCTTTTTAGTTCTTACTCTTTTGACTCTCTTATGACCAATTGGAGAAGTCTTTGGCAGCCCTTTTGGCTTGGGATTTCTTTCCCCTCTTTTGTAATTTCATACATCAAGGAAATTGTTTCTTATACCCAAAAAAACAAAAACAAAAACAAAATCCATACCAACATCTTCGTGCGTGGAAAATTTTCTTCTTTAAAATGATAAAGATTAGCTAATACAATTCTTACCATAGCTCGCATGAGGAATGAATCAAAGGAGAAGTTATTTTCTGTTCTTGAAAATTATAATTTGAGTGAAAAGCAGTCACTGAGTTCTATTGTTTTTCTGGTTGAAGTCTGATTCCTTTAGTTTACAGCACCCTAATATTCATCTTTATGTCATTCATGGGGATTATTTTCTCTGTGGGATACAGTGGAAAAAGATGGCATCCCATGACGGGCCTCCTGGTTATGATCCACCATCAGATGTAAAATCAAAGAGCAAGTCTGCCAAGCGGAATGAGAGAAAGAAAGACAAGCGAGTACAGGTTTGTTTTCCCCTCAATTGAGAATGTTACGTTATGTTTCTGATGGCATCTTAAATATTGTGAGACAAAATATTTGAAAAGCATAATGGGAGTTCATTTTTGGTTTATTTTCCGTGTGGTATGTTCAACTGATATAATGCCTGTCATCAAAACAAATTTATTTGTGATCCCTAACTGGCGATGAAAGTAACTAAAATTTATACGTCCGGAGGGCAGAAAACGATTTTCATCTCTACTTTCTGTTCTTTTCCCCCATCCAATGAAGTATGAGGACATGGTATTTTCTTCATTGTCATTTTTCTGCAGGCAGCTCATGAAAATGACAAAATTTTGGAACAAGTTGATGCTGGAGAGATCATTGAAGCAAAGGAATCATATGTCGATAATGTGTCGGAACCTGTCCAGTCATTAAGTACCCAGATGAATGAACTTGCTGTTTCTACGAATCAAAAGATTGAAAACCCTTCTTCTGAGCCAATGGATGATCAGCGGCTTCCTTCCAATGACATCGACAAGAGAATTAGAGCAATAAAAAAAAAGGTGAATACAAATTAGCGTTGGTAGAATATTACAAATCATATTTGATTCTAAGTCTTTCATGAAATTTGTCAATCCCATTGCATAAAAATTCTATTTTATCTATACATTCTAAAATAGTTTTCATCATACGATACAAATTCAAGAACTAAAGGGAAACAATTAGATACTTGTTGTATCATACTCTTTGAACAACTTTCTTCCTGTGGGTACTCCTTGCTGGTATGGCATATTGGCCGGTGTAGATCTACCTGATCTAGTTAGTTTAGTTATGAATTAAAAAAAATGAGTTATAGAATGATTATTGTTTTTAAGGCCCAATTAGTTGTTCGTAAACTACGTTAGTTAAGAATCTCATGTGCTGTCATCCTTAATTACCTTGATTCTGATTTCTTCACCTTACTTTGGGAGGCTAAAATGTTGGAGAAGATTAATATTTTTGCTTGGTTGGTTGGTTACCTTGGGGAGGATAAACGTTGTAAGGAGATCCATTGTGCTCTTTCCTCTTAGTTATGGACAGCTTCAGTAGACTCCTCACAAAGGCTGAATTGTGAGGCAAAACCAAAGGCTTTCATGGGGGCAAGGGCGAGGTTAGTATTAGCCACCGACAATTTAGGCCTCCCCCTCAACAGTTTAGGCTTCTGCGCCCAGGTTCAAGGCCTTGTTACCGAAGTTGGTAGCCCAAAGAATTGAAGAGTGGGAAGCAATATAGTCTGTTATAAGTGATTGCGTTTCCAAAATCCAGAATGGTTGAGGAGTTTTAGAATTCTACTCTCTTCTACTCTAGACCCTCCTACCCTTTCTCGTCTCTCCCGAGCTGTATTAGCTCTAATATTACAGAGAAAACAGTATAGTAAGTATATAACAGCCTAGCTAGTTACAGGCTCATACTAGGGGTAGTTGTTGTAGATGATGCTGGTGGTGTTTGTGGTTTGTTTTCCACACTCTTATAAACAATGTTTCGTTCTCCTCCTCAACCGATATGGGATCTCACAATTCACCCCCCTTTGGGGCCCAGCGTCTTCGCTGGCACTCGTTCCCTTCTCCAATCAATGTGGGACCTCTCAATCCCACCCCCTTCGAGGCCCATTGTCCTTCCTAGCACATTGTCTGGTGTCTGGCTCTGATATTATTTGTAACGGCCCAAGTCCACTGCTAGTAGATATTGTTTTCTTTGGGTTTTTCCTTTCGAGCTTCCCCTCAAAGTTTCTAAAATGTGTCTGTTAAGGAGAGATTTCCGCACCCTTATAAAGAATGCTTTGTTCTCCTCCCCAACCGATGTGGGATCTCTATATTCTTGATGCAAATGCTACTTGTTCAAGAAATTCTTTTGTTCTTACAGTATTGCTTACACTCGGTGCCATAACTTATATTTTCTGTTTGCGAACATCTTTTAATGAATTATTGGTTGCTTTATGGACAGCTGAAGATCTGCGTTGGTTCTCTATCTTTGATCGTTTTCCTTGTCTTGTTCTATTGTTTTGGTTTGCAGATTCGAATTGCAGAAGCTCAGTTGCAGAAAACGCCACAGCAAGATATGAAGCCCGAGCAGTTGAACAAGTTATCCAAACTCGAAGAGTGGCATTCCGAACTAACGCTTCTAGAAGAACAAAGGCGAAAACTAAACACATCGACGTGAATGACTGCAACGCAGCATTATTGTTCACTTTACTTATGCTTAACGAAGAAAGAGACTTGGAATTGCTGCAACTTGAAAATCTGGTCGCCTGTAAAACTCATTTGCTTAATATGTTGTGCAATATCATTTCAACTAGTTCTAGGAACCCGCTTGAACTGTAGATAGTGTTGAAAACATTGATTTTCTTTCGCCCGAACATGATTTAAAGTGATTTTGAATCAAAATCATCGTGTTTGATCAATGAATTATTAGAATATTGATATCACTGTAGGCATTTTTGCACTTCGAAACTCGAGTTTTGTAACAACATCATAGGTAGAAAACTTGAACTTGGAAAGGTTCAATCTGGTTTGGTAACAATTTGGAGTGATGCCCTGAGGGTAGTCTGTTCTTCTGAAGGTGCAGCATCATAAGATCACCCACCTCAAAGGTCCTCTCCCTTCTATGTTTGTACTTAGCATTGGACCTCTCCAAATTGTGACTTATGTGGCTCGTAGAGCTACGAGTAAGTCTCGTTTCTAATATTTTCGGTAGCTTTCTAAAAATGAGTTAAAATGTTCTCATCTCCCTCCGACACCCATGTAATCGTACAAAAGCAAAAAGAGGAACTTTTCTATCAAAGTGAAAATCGTCCACAACATTTTATTGCCATAGATCTGCATGATCTTTTGTACGTGCAACCTCAAAGCTTCAACCAATCGAAAAAATAATAGATTTAATAAGGTTGTAAACCAGGTGAAAAAGTAGAGATGAAAGACTCATGACTAAATAGGTGTGCTTAAGACTAAATTTTCACTTCTTAATCCGGTTGACTCGATCAAAATTACAAAAAAAAAAAAAAAAAAATCTAACCTTTAAAACTATAGACATTATCATTAATTTTGTAATTTATCTATTTGAAAAAAAAATTGCTTCCAATAAAATTTAAAAAAGAGTAATAATAATAATATTAAAAATTAAAAGAAATTAAAAAAAAATAATAAAAAAAAAGCGCTAAGATCGTCGAACCAGTTTATAAAGCAAAAGAGAAGCGCGCCAAGTTCGTGAAGCCATCAGTCGGTTCAATGCACTTCCTTTTCGGCAGCCGCCATGACTGCAACTACAATCATGAACCCTAATCTCTCCCCTCCCTCCTCATCTTCATTTCCCGATTTCTTGTTTTCCCAATTCGCCTTTCAAGGTTGTTCCTCTTCCAGATTTCGCTTTCCTCCTTCCAAATGCCCCTCCGAGTCGAATCGTCAAAACCCCACGCCGGAGGATTTTACCCAAAAGAGGACCACTCTCATGGCGCAAAACTCTCCGATTTCGACTCTTGAGGTTCTCCAAACCTCTGAATCGAATCATCAGAAGACAGCCGCAGGGCAAGAGATTCCGATTTTGTGTATTGAGGACCTTCAGGATAACCCGAAGCGTGGGAGTTCCACATTAACCGTAGAGGATGTTCAAGAAGTTTCACCGAAGACCCCAACTTCTGAAAGGGAAAGGGTTTTAGTGCATGAGCCTCCTATATTAACTCTAGAGGATATTCAAAATGCAAAATCGGACCATCAACCGGCGATAGAGCCTCCATTGGCTCGTAGGGTTTTACGGTTTTACCGGCAGTTTGGGTTTGATGAACAAATAGTGCAAAAAACCCCACCTTCTGTCCGAAATTCCATGCCAGTTCAACGAGATGAACGTGTAGTTTCGCGTCATTTCCAGGAATCAAAATCAAACCAACAAGGAGAACGAATTGTATCACGCTATTTTCAACACTCGGAAATAGAACGAGCAGCCCATAATGAGGATGAGGATGAGGATGAGGATGTCAATGTCACAGATCAACCAATTAAAAGATCAAGGGTCGGACAATACAGAAAAAGGAGGAGGAAAGACGTAGCTTCTAGCTCCGATAATTCAAAAGCATATCAACGTTCAATCAGAAAATCCTCACGTTTTGTTAAAGAATCGGGAACGGATAAACGAGTGCGATTTGTTTCCCGCTATTTTCAAAATTCAGAAAAGAATCCTGAAGTGGAGATTGAAGTTTCACCTCCATTACAAAATTCAAAAACAAAACAACAAGGAGAGCGCATAGTCTCACGTTTCTTTCAAAAATCAGAAGAACAAGAAGTAGTGAACAATCAACAAGAGGTTATACAGCTTCCAAGTCAGTGTGCAAAATCTGTTAAAAGAATCCGTAAACCAGCCAAGGAAAGAAAAGTGAGGGATAAAGTTTCTGCTAGGCCTAGAACCACTCTTTCGGCTGACGAGTTGTTTCTGGAAGCTTATAGAAGAAAATCGTCAGATGATACATGGAAACCTCCTCCCTCTGGAATTCGCCTTCTCCAACAGGATCATGCTTACGACCCTTGGAGGGTTCTTGTCATATGTATGCTCCTTAACCGGACGACTGGGCAGCAGGTATTCACTTGATCTTGAATGCAATTTCCAATTTCATACTGTACTATATCTTTCCCCATGGCACATAAACTTGATTTGCTTTCATTACAGTTTTGCCACTCCACGGCTTTGCCGCAGGACTGGGTTTTCATAAATGAACTTCAACAATATCCTTGAATCAAGTAAACAAGAAAAGTGGATAAATGTCGTCTCATTCAACCTTGTCAATTACCATATTCACTATTTCCTTTGAAGATATTCTGTTAGGTATCCAGAGTATTCTTTACCTATTGAATTATACTATAGTATTCTCCAATACTCACTTCCTTTCCCAAATCAGCACTTACCGTCAGCTGCCTTACCAACTCACATTCCCTGTGTCCCACGGTAATACGATATCCACAATACCTAGTTGTAGACCCACCCCTTACTTTGTTAAGTGAATACACCCTGAGAATTGGTGTCTATTAGTTTACAAAGCATTGTTTTGGGGTATTTGGAAAGATAGGAACCAAATTAATTGAAGTGAATGATAGGCTGAAACTATTTAGGCATCAAAGAGCTACTTTGTGGTGCCATTTCTAGTGAATTTTGGTATCATTCTTCGAGTATGATTTACTGAACTTTGTTCTCTAGTTTTCTTTTGAACTCTTAAAGAAAATCTAAAAATTTGTGGTCCTGAGGGCTAGAAAGTATTAGATGAATGATACACATGCTCATATATATATATATATATGAAGTTCTTATACCTAACCTCTGGTTCTTAGTTGTGCCAGTCTATTGGAGTGATCATTTAGTTGGTCGTGCACGTATTTATGAATGGTTGGGGAAATAAACTCCATGATACTATATATTATCGCAACCAAAACCTTCTATCATTTTGTATTTCTGTGTCAACTTTTTACTCATAATTGACCCTCTGTTTTCTGATTATGCACCCTTAGTCCTGTAGGTTTCATTTTTGCTGAAAATTTTCAGTTTGACTCAGTCTGCGAGTTCATTTTGAAAATTGCAGGCAAAAGAAGTGATACCTAAACTCTTCACTTTGTGTCCCGATCCAAAGTCTGCTTTGGAGGTATCGCAAGAGCAGATAGAAGATATTATTCGACCTCTTGGTTTACAAAGAAAAAGATCACTTACAATTCAGCGTTTATCTGAGATGTATTTAAAAGAAAGTTGGAGTCATGTCACTCAGCTTCCTGGTGTTGGGAAGTAATTTAGATCATCCTTTTAAACTCATTGATTTATAAGTTCTATCTCTTCCATGCTTATTGAGCTTGGGACGTGTATTAAAATGAATTTGATTTGAGACAGGTATGGAGCTGATGCACATGCAATATTTTGCACTGGATATTGGACCGAAGTATTGCCTAAAGATCACATGCTTAATTATTACTGGGAGTTTCTCCACAGCATAAAGCACCTGCTCTGATCTTATCTGAGGCAACTGTAGATGGTTCGACACGAGAGAAGCTGTAAATTTCCCGGTCTACTTAACATATATTTTTTGGTACGTTACTCTTTTGACATAATTTTGTTTTGTTAATGTTTATGTTGTTGTTGGGAGTCTGTGAGACCCTTATATCAACACATACTAGAAAGGGGAGAAATGGAAGCTCTCCTCCAAAAGCTAATTAGGCTGTAAGCTTGTATTGAGTGAAGTAGCGTGAGGGTCATGTTATGTTTTGAAAGGTCTGGTAGCTTTATTATGGGCTGTGCCTTCGCTTTTGACTTTTGAATATCAGTTTAGAAAGGAAGGATGATTAGCTTACCTATGATCTCTTTCTTTCTTGCTTTGGTAGGTTCAAAGTTCCTTTCACTTTAACCCGTATGGTCTTATCTTGATGAATTGTGGTTAGAAGTTGGCAAATGATGTAAGTGAAAACACCGGTAAGCTAATTACTATTTCTGGGTATTCAAATAGTTAATCACTGGCATAGCTAAAATTCGGTTGACATGGGCAATAATTTGTTCCACTTAAATCTATTATATAGACGCAGAGATGGATGCTTTGTGAACTCAGCCTCAAAATTTGTTGTTAAATTTAATTTGATTTATTGCATTCATTGTAAGCATTCTTGCTTTATTTTTCATAGTTCAGCCGTAAACATAATTTGGAGAACTCTTATAACCTCAAATTTGTGCCCAAGAGAGGAACTCTTATAACCTCAAATCTTCGTGCCGAAGAGAGGAACTAGTGCCAGCGAAAACGTTGAGTCTCGATGGATTCCGACTTATCCTGTTTAATGTAAATATAAATATATTTTTACTTCTAAGTTTCATATAAGTGGAGAAACTTTCTAAACTACAATACGCATTCCATAAGGTTTCGTCGATGGGTTTTATAAAATTCCAATTTCTAATAATACGAGGGAATTAACCCCAATTAATAATGAAAAGTATGCATTTAATTTTTTTTTTATAAGAATAATAACTGAGAAGAATTCACCGTGGGGAACCTGATCTCTATCAATTCTCGCTTCACTTCATGGACATTTCTATACATTGGGTTTGCATATCTATAAGAGTTCTTATATCCAACTGGGTAGCATTTTCATATCACTAAATTGAGAAAGACCTCGTATGGACTAAAACAATCATCAAGAGCATGGTTTGGAAGATACACAAAGGTTACGAAAGACTACTACGGGTATAAGCAAATCAAGATCACAATCTTTATCAAACACTTAAGAATCGAGGAGAGATAAAGTGCTTCTAGTGTATGTAACTGACACCATAATCATTAGGTGCTTCTAGCGTATGTAACTGACACCATAATCATTAGAGACAATAAAGAAGAAGATTGAATGTTGAACTGAGACGAAAATTGATTGATGAAAGAATTTGAGATCACAAAACTTGGAAGGCTAAAATATTTGTAGAAGCCTATCAGCATATAAAGTGTTACGTTACCTGAAAAGACACTATATTTTTTTTTTCAAATGGGACAATTCTCTTGCATTGGAAGCTTACATCGATGCTGACTATACTACATCGCTATTGGATAGAAAATCTATTCGGAATATTTGCGGAACCCTTCAAGTTAAGGAATATTTGTGTAGCTTTTAATTAAGAGATAGTTTATATAATCAAATTGATCAACATGTTCATGCTATCGTGTGAAGTCTTCAAGAACCCTAATTTTTTTTTTTTAATTTTATATTATCATGCCTGCACACAGTTGGATCCTAACTGAACGAGTAGGATGTAAAGACTAAATTTTTCTTGGAAAAGAAGATTTAATCGAATTAGATTGAGGAGTATCTAATAGTTGGACTCAATAATTAATGTTTAGAGAATTAATGAAGGTGATACACCTAAAATGTAGATATTCACGAGACCAATAGGATTTTACAGAATTAATGTAAAGTAAAAAATTTCTTATCGCCAACTGAGAATCGAGAATCTTTGGAGCGACGATTGCTCTCGGTATGTAGCTTGAAGTCCAAATTGATTGAGGGAAACCACTCCGAGATAGAATAGACAAAAAAAATAGAGCTTGAACGGTTGAAAATCGCGTAAATTTTGATAAACCACTATGATTCACGTTCCACCACGGTTGACTAATCGAGAGACTTTAAAATTAATACCATAATTAATCGGAAGACTTTATTTATTTATTTTTATTTATCTACAATAATAATAATTTTAATTATTTTGATTTAGTTGATATTTACTTGTGTCTATAATATAATGAAATGTCCTCCAAATTTAATATTATAAATATTTTATTTATTTATTATTATTGTGTCACTGTACGCTTTACACCAGCTCTCGCAGTTGGACTGCGATGCCCTTCTCCTCATTTGGCGGGAGATTATCAATTTCCACTCGCTCGATCCACGGTGGGCTGCCATAACATAGGGTACCCATTTCTTCTTCTTCTTCTTTCCATCAATATATCGCTCTCGGTTCTTCTTTCACTTTGTACAAATCCAATTTTCCTCTAGGTAAATTTACAGTCAATCTGTTCAATTCGTGGCCTGTTTTTTGTTCAATTATGCTTGATTTGTTTGGGAATCTGATTTTAATTTGTCTTTCATTTTGCTTTTGGTTGTTTTGATGAGATTAATCGCAGTTTTGAGGACCTTGCGTTGGTAGTGTGTGTTGGGTTGCTGTTGGAATCATCTTTTAACTGCAATGGAGCGTGCTGCTGCTCCTACAACTGCTTCTGGACTGCCAACTCGCCGCTCGGTGATGATTGTTCTCAGTCCTCGTGGAGTTTTTTTTTTTTTTTTTTTTTTTTTTTTTTTTTTTTTTTTTTTTTTTTTTTTTTTTTTTTTTTTTT